TATATATATATATATATATATATATATATATATATATCATTTATTATTCTATATCTCTCTTATTTTTAAAATATTATATAATTAACGTTTTATTATTTTTTTATATATAAATAAATAGAAAATAATTATAATAATTTTATTCATAAACTTATGATATAAATGAAAATAAATTAAAAATTAATAATATTATATACAAATAAAAATTTCTTATATTTTAATTGTTTATATTTAATAATTAAAAATAATTAAACAACTTACATAAAGTTTTTCTGTTACGAACTGTATATCTTCTAAAGATAGAACTATATTTTAAATTGCAAATTAAATTGTTTATCAGCATGATAAGCTAAAAAAATAACGGCAAATGAAAAATGAAAAATTTGATAGGATTTTTTAAATAAATGGATTTGTTATTATTATTCAAAAATTATTTAAATAATAATATATATATTTATATATATATATTAAAACTAAATTTATATAATATATATTTAAAATAGCTATAATATATATAAATATAATTTATATTATATATATTTAAAATAACTATATAAAGAATTAACTAAAAAAAGCTCTTTTATAAAAAATTATAATCATGATATGCTGCTTTATAAAAAACCGTTTTATCATACAAAGTTATTTGAACTAATGAGCTACAAAGCTTCACTATATAATAGATCTATTATTTGATCATTGCTCTTATTGACAAAATTAATTTTAAAAAATTTTATTACTAAAATTTAATTATATTAATATTAATTAGTATTTATTTTATTAATTTAATTAATATTATTATAATTATGTAAAATAATATATGTATATATTATATATTATTATTATAAATAGAAGTTTATTGATATTATTACTTAATATATTATATTATTATATATTATTATATATTATATATTATTATATATTATATATTATTATATTATATATAATTTCATTACTAATTTTCGTATTTATTTTTTTTCTCCCAAAAAAGCTATTAATTATTAAAAATTAAAGATTTTGATTAAAAAAATAAAAATATAATTTCATTTTAATATATATGGTTATTATATATATATAAATAATATAATAATTATTATATTCATTATAATAAATTTATTTATATATAATGAAATGATTTTTAAAAATATAATATAATTTTTACCATAAAATAGATTTATCATAAAATAGACATTTTTATATTTTTTTGTGTTTTCTTACTACATTCATTATTTTTGCATGTTATATATATTTTATTGTAAAATTATATGTAATATCTTAAATTTACAATGTAATGTTAAACTAAAATAATGAATTACAATTGAATTAAATTAAATGTACAAGAATGCATATAAAAATAATATTAATAAAAATAATTTTTAACATCTTAGTTACGAAGTCAAAGTAAAACTCAGATTTAGAACATAGAACAAAGAAAATATTAATATTAATAATTATTTTTATAAAATTTTCATAAAAATTGCTATTTTACTTGATTTAGTAAATTCTTATGATATCCTAATATTTTTATGAATAATTAATTTTATTTTTTATATTAATAGTTGTATAATGTAATATTGTTTACAGAAATATGCTAAATTATGTCCAAATTATTCAATTATGATTGAAAAAATAGATGGATGTAACAAAATGAAATGTATTCATTGCAATGCTTATTTTTATTGGCTTTATAAATCACTTAGAACAACAAAAAAATGCATATGATCATTTTTTAACTGATAATAATTGTTACAAACAATTATTTGAAAAAATATTTAAAGAAAATAATTAATTATAATGTAATAAGGAAAAATATATACTTTTGGATCAAAAACTTATATATAAAAAATGAATTTCAAGTATTTTTGATTAAAAAAATATAAATATATTAAAATATTTTTTTTAATATATTAATTTACTATAAATTATACATAACAAATAATTAATTTAAGTATAAAATATATAAAATATTACAAAATATTATTGTATAAAATATTTAAATAAAATAATACTTTACTTATTAACAAACAATATAATATAATATTATATATTAACTATTTTTAATAATATAAACATTTGATGATTTAAGCATCTCTTGGCATATGAACTTCAACAGTAGCTTCTGTTATTAATTGGTCTGCGACAACAGAAACTGTTGATTCATGTCTCTGATTATGTATTATGTTATCTAAAAATTATATAATAGTACTAAAATATTATAATATCATTTCTAACAAATCTATTTGAAAAAAACAAACATATTTGAAATCTTACCTGCACATTCTTTATCACAGTCTAGTAATATTTGTCTTTTATAAAATCGTTTCATGTTAAGTTCTATAAGTTGTGGACCAAATATCCAATATCCAAGGCACGCTCCCAGCACAATAGTAATAGTGATATATACATTATATGTCATAACAGCTAACATTAAAAGATAACCAAGAAATGTATGTACAAACCAATGAAATATTTGGAAACTCCATATACACCATTGTATACTAACAAAATAATATATAATATTAATCTATAATAATAATAGTTTGTTTCTAATTTAAAAATTTGTAAGTTATATAAATTATTAATAGAAATAATACCAATGTAAAGAAATTTTTGTTCTAATGTTATTTGAGGATATTTTAGATAACAAACAAGAATTCTCTGATATTGAGCTTTGTTTCTGTAAAAGGCTTACTGTATTTTGTTGTAACTTGATTTGTAAAATTTTCATACCCTCATATAATATTGCAATTGCAAATAAACCTAAACAAGTACAAAAAAAACTGAAAATTGTAGTAATATTGTATCCTGGTAAAAAAAAATTGTCTAAATTGTTTCCAAACCAAAACCACATATGCATCTATAAACAAATAGATTAATACTTCATAATATTAATAAAAAAAATATAACTATAGGATTATACGCACCATAATTAATTTTATTCTATACTTCCATATAATGAATTTTAAAATAATTATTCGAAATGATAAGAATTGTAGATAAAATTGTTTTTTACATTCTAAATAGCACCTAGCTTTACCTAATTATTTACTAATGATTTAACTGTACATTTTAATTATTTACATTATTTAATTTTATAAATAATTGTAACACTTTTATATGATTATAATTTTTTATTTTGATTATAAATTTATAATGTATAATAAAAATATCAATTTTATGAAATCAATTTTATCTAGTTCACAATATATTTTCAAGAAATATAAATAATATATAAAATATCGTATAAAACTTGAATATAGTAGTATAAGTTCATATATAATAAATGACCATTTTGTAATTAAATATAAAACACAATTGTAACATAAAACACAATTGTATCTAGTGAGTTTGTTAACTTTATGTTGTTTAAAGTTGCTAGGATACAGATCATGTGATACTATATAATATGCATATCACTTTTAAATCTTTTTGATTGTCAAACAAGTTTTCAACAAATCCAAAGAAAAAATAGAAAAATGGTGTGACCATCTATATTGTTTTTAAATAAATATTATTAAAATAAAATATAGGAAATTTGTGGCTAAAGTAGTGTATTGGAAATACATTGATCGTTCATTGGTCAACGAAGTAGAGAAAAAATTGTTTATAAAAATACGTATAAAAATTTAATTAAAATCATTATTATAAATATTAATATTCAATAGACAGGTACTAAAATTTTGTTAGAACTATATAAAAAATTTTTTAATTAAAAATATTTAAATAAAAGAAAAATTTATAAAAAGAAGCCGGAAGGTGGCGGATAGAATAAGGGTACGACAGCGCTATCTACATCATTGGGACGAGCAAGCGTGGCTAATCAAAGCACCAAAAGGTAAGCCGTAAAGGCTGTTTATTTTTGGGTTTTCATTCGTCCTACAAGGTTTTTTCTCGAGTAATGTGCTTCCTGGCTGTGTCGGACTGTACATCGTGTTTGAAAATCAGTTGACGAAGCAGCAATGACCACGGAAACGTAGGTGAACTGCCGGATAGGCTGTAACGTCGAGCATCTTGCCTAGTAAAGTGAAAACTCCATTTGCTCCCCTCACTCTCAGCTCCGCATACCTAGCCTTTCGTTGGCGCCTTTCTAACCAATTGCCAGGCGTACACTAAGCACTGACGTCGTATATATGTGTGCATAATATACGGAGATTCGAGAACTTTTTTGCGCACGTACCTTTACGCATTATATACGAATCCTGCGCTCTTTTATCGCGGTGATCACTTTTACTCTATATATCGATAGAAAAATATTTCTTCCATTTTTTTATTCATAGGAAAATGAGCAGTTCTGAGGAGGTATCCTGGATTTCGTGGTTTTGCAATCTCAGGGGAAATGAATTTTTTTGTGAAGTAAGTATTTTCTTGTACCATAATATTTGATTTTAATTATACATATTTTAACATACCTCATTTTTCTGTAATTAAAGATTTTGAAATCGTTGATTTAAATGAATTTCATTTCATTACAATTTTCTATAATGTTTTGTTTTTAAATAATATTAAACGATACTTAAATTATAAAATTTGATAATTTTGTATAAGTATAATTTCATGTATTATAAATAATAATAATTTATAATTATTAATTACAATATTTCTATAGGTTGATGAAGATTATATCCAGGATAAGTTTAATTTAACCGGACTAAATGAACAAGTACCACATTATAGGCAAGCATTAGATATGATTCTTGATCTTGAACCTGGTAAATATATTATTTATACCTTGCCAGAAAATATCAAAGTACTTTTAAGCTTGTTTTTATTCTGTAGATGATGAATTGGATGGCCATCCAAACCAATCTGAATTAATTGAACAAGCAGCAGAATTACTTTATGGATTAATTCATGCACGTTACATTCTTACTAATCGTGGCATTGCTCAAATGATTGAAAAATATCAGTCCGGAGATTTCGGTTATTGTCCACGTGTATATTGTGAATCCCAACCTATGTTGCCTCTGGGTCTTAGTGATGTTCCTGGAGAAGCAATGGTTAAAAGTTATTGTCCCAAATGTATGGATGTTTATACACCAAAAAGCTCTAGACATCATCATACAGATGGAGCATATTTTGGAACAGGATTTCCCCATATGCTTTTCATGGTTCATCCAGAATATAGACCCAAACGTCCAACAAATCAGTTTGTACCTAGGTAAGTTGAAATAAAAAATAATTTTCATTTTTAAAAATTTTTGCAAAAATCATATAAAAATTTGTTTGAATCTTAAAATAATAACAAATTTATATTTCTAATAAAATTATATAAAACAAAAAATGATCTTTTTACAGGTTATATGGCTTTAAAATTCATCCTCTAGCATATCAGTTTCAACAACAATCTGCATCAACATTTAAAGCACCATTGCGAGCTGTTAATTATAATAATGGAAAACGTTAAGAATATTGCAACATAGTCTAGAACATTTTTTCATTACTTAAAATACAATTCCTAATTTCGTCCCTAAGGATTAAATAAAATATTATTTTTTATATTGATCTTTACACATTTTAGCAAGGCGCTGAAATACCAATCGTTTTGTTTGATCATTTTATAACTAAAAGTTTGAATATGGCATTCGATACTTTTCGGATTTTTCCACGGTATTTATATGCCGAAAAGATTAAAGAGTGGTATATCAAACTGCCAATGTTTACTAAGCGCCATGTTCATTTTTATTTCAGCTTTAGTAACAATTTTCTTTTTGTTAAAAATCATATTTGTATTGTTATATAAATTCTGGTCGAAGTGAAATAACAAAAATGAAATACATACAAAACATAATTACTAGGGACTAAAGATGCAAAATAATGATGAAGTATATGTGTTTAAATGTTTTGCATCTTCGTGAATGCTTCCTAGTAATTCCTAGAAGACAAATGAAGATCGATCTCGAAATAGAGAAGCAAGTAGCAACGAATATCGATCGTTTTTTTAATAAAAAAAAAAACGATACATAAATTAATTAATTTGTTAAATATAATTTAATTTAAATCTTAAGTAAGCTACAAAAAAGCAATTTATTTATACATAATTTACCTTAATAAAAACTAAGCTCAGATAAACAGAGTATAAAGCAAATTTAAAAGTAAAGACTGCATATTATTCTATAAAATCTTGTTTTTTACTGCAATTCTTTGAAAATGTATTATATGCAATTTTTAGTGACCAGAAACAAAATTCCAGAAATTCTCTAAGTATGATATATATTACAAATAATAATATAATAATGCATATTTTAATATAGTACAATAAAATTGTTTTTCTTTATTATGATTATTACAAGTGTTCAAAATTTGTATTAAACCAAATAAGTTATGTATTTTTAAACTTAATAATTTTTTTAAACAAATATATTTAAACTAAATTAAAATTATTTAAAAATAAGATGCATAAAAGGAAAAAAAGGACAATATTTTTCATTTTATTATATATATTCTGAATATTTTAGATATGTATATTCTCACATTTTTTCAATATCGATTTTCAACATTGTATATTTATCTACTTTAATAATTGCATACAAATTTTAAATTCATTGTAAAATATGAAATTTCAAAATAGTTAATTTTTAAATTTTTAGAAAAGTAAAATTTATTCATAAAATATAAGCATTTATAATATTTAAAAAATATGTATTAGTAAAAAAAATTGTATTTTATGTTAAAATCAATGATTGTTTTTCAGTCATCTATTATATATCATACACTTTCAATTTATTGTCAAATATAAATATAAGTCATTGTAATATAACATAACACACTGTAACATGTCATTATGTAAAATATTAAAAAACATTATTTTTATGTTAATTTCATTATATTAATTTAATAAAAAAAACCTTTTGATGTTAACTATGAATTATATATTTACAATCAATTTACGTAAAAGCGCTAATTCAGTTCTGAAAAATATCCCTAAATTTATAAAGTTATGTATTGCAACACTGTTAACGTTAACCAATCAACGTTCATGTTTGAAGTTTGAATTTTATGACGTAAACGAAAAACCAGTATAATATGAAGCAAACAGTCTAAAATTATAAAAACTAATTATGAATTTTAATGAATATATTTTTCAAAGTTAAGTATTTTTGATGGTATTTAATAAAATGTGTTTTATAGTCTTATTAATACATTCAAGAATTATTTATTGAGTGTTATGAATCAAGTGATTTTTATAATCATAAGTACGATAATGCTTGCTAATCAACAAAGTGAAAATAATTATAATTGTTTTGTTTTATTTGATCCTCAAGACATATTAATAATTTTTAAATATATCAGACACTTTGAATATATAATTATTCTAATAAATTTGGATATTTTGATGTGATATTATATTTTACATGCATCTTTGTTATTCTTTTTACTAATATAAATTAATTAAAATTAATTAAAAGAAGAATAAATATATATTTTTTTTAAAATGTCAGATTTATCAACAAATGACAGGCTTATATTAAATAACATGGATTTTCAAAATCATACCAATTCACGTCCAAAATTTCAACCAATACGAGTAAAAGAATTATTACATTTTTGTGAAAGCGATGATGATGAAAGCGAAGACAAACCACAAGATTCTGATATTGAATCAGATTTTGATGATCCTCAACCTTTACCACAAGATGTTGAACATGATTCAATTCAATCATTATCTTTGCTTAATCTAACATCTAATAAATTAAAGGAAACTTGTAAAGAATCTATATCATTTAATAATATTATAGAATGTGAGCCTGAAATTAAATCAACATTTCATGAATATGAACATAATATGACAAATGAAAATGTGAAATGTGAAAATTCAAATCAAATGCAATTAAATATTCAAACTATTACACAAGAAAAACTTTCACAAACTGAACACAAAAATAAATACATTACTAATATAGAAATTAAAGAACAATTGACTCAGGATCAATTTTTAGATCAACAAACTTCTTCTAAAATAAACAATAATACTGAATCTATTGCTTCTACATTTCAATATTTTGAAAAGGTACCACAATTTGGAATGCATAATTTACAGAATATAAATTGCAAAAAAGAAGCATTAGAATCAGTAGAAGAAAAATTAGCATCTGTAGCAAGTGAAGAGAAAATTCATTATGAAAATGTATCTTCCAAGGGTAAATCATTAATATCAGATACAGGAACATTTGTAAATTCTACTGATCAGTGGTTACAAACTCCTTTAAAACATGCATCTAATTCTATACATCCAGATCCATGTTTCTCTCGTAGAAATATTATTCAAACTCCACAAAACAAATTATCTGATTCAGTATCTAAAGATCATGGATTAGCTTTAACAATTTCATCTCATTGGTCTCAAAATAATACAAAACAAACTCCATTACAAAACAAGAATATTAATTTCAAAGATTCTATGCAAACTCCAAAAAATTCTCTTTACTTTACATCAAACGTAGGAAAGAATGAAACTCCAAGGTATATATATTAATATAATGTAATTTTTTAGATATTGTTAATATTAATTTATCTTTCTTAACATATATAATTTTAGATATTTCGATACAGGAGGTAAATTAAGAAAACCTTTAGTAGACACAGGAAGTTTTACACAAAATGATACTTATAATAGACATTTATTACAAGGATCTCAATTTCCTAAGGTAAATGAAGAAACACCTAAAATTCAAAATAAATCATCATGTGAAAATTTAAATAAAGCAGATTTGTCAAAACAAATATTTGATACATCAGAAACTGTTGAGCATCTGGAATTAAAAGAAAAAAAATATAATCAAAGTAAAAAGGATATATTACCAGATAAAGAAACAATAAATAAAATAGCAAATAGTAGACATATTCCACATTGTATCAAAAACAATAAAGAAACTGTAAAATCAGTATTTCAGAATCAACATTCAGAAGTTAGTAATCAAAATCAACATCAAGAATTTAAAAAAGTTATAGATAATCCGTTAAATTTACAATTTTCAATGCCATCTAATATTCCAAAATCTAGGCAAAGTAGAACTCTTTTTGTTAAAGGAAAAGAGTATTTAATTTTGGGTACACTTGGTCAAGGTATGAGTGGAGAAGTTTTAAGAGCACAAGATTTATCTTCTCTCGAGTTATGTGCTATTAAATGTGTTAATCTTAATCGTATGGATAAGGACTCAGCACAAGGTTGCTTAGAAGAAATTTCAATGTTACATAAATTACAAGCACCATGTGTTGTTAAAATGTTTGATTAGTAAGAAATTATTTTGCAAAAATATATATTATACATATATATGTATTGACATTAAATTTAAGTTTTTTATTTTAGTGAAATTAAATATCCGATGGTATATGTAGTAATGGAAATGGGAGATACTGATCTCAGTCGCCTTTTAAAAACAACATCTCAAGAGAAACAAATTCCTCTTACAATGATTTTATATTATTGGACAGAAATGTTAACAGCTGTTAAGCATATACATGATAATGGTAAATATCTTAATGTAAAAAAATCATTTATTGAATATTTTATATATAAATAATTCTATTTCACATAAATTTTTAGGAGTAATTCATTCTGATTTAAAACCAGCAAATTTTTTATTAGTACGGGGACGATTGAAACTTATAGATTTTGGAATTGCTTCTAGTATGAATGCTGATATGACATCTGTTGTAAAAAACTGTCCAATAGGAACTTTAAATTATATTAGTCCAGAAGCATTAATGGATATTGGTGGAAATTCAGATTCTCCTACACAGAATGTTAAATATAAAGTATAAAAAATCAATTTATAGAATTGATGAATCAATTATATAGAAATAGAGATTTAAAAAATTATATGCAAATATTTATTTTACAGATAAGTTTTAAATCAGATGTATGGTCTTTAGGATGTATTTTATATAGTTTAGTATATGGCCATACACCATTTCATCATATTCGATCACAATGGGCTAAAGTAAATGCTATAACCAATCCAAACTTGAATATACCTTTTCCTAAAACTTTGTCAGAAAATGGTAATAAAGTTACATTTTCACCACCAATTTTAATTGATGTAATGCGAAAGTGTCTTCAACATAATCCAAAAGCACGACCAACAGTAGCTGAACTTTTAGAAGTAGAATATATTATGACTACAGGAGAACATACTTCAATAACACCTCCTGAAATTCCAGCAAATATTTTAGTGAAAATAAAGCATACATTGAATGAAGACGAATGGCGGCAGTTAATATGGGTTTGTAATTTTTATGTAATACTATAATATTATAAAAAAAATTATTTTTTATATAAATTTTACTTATATTACAGATTTTGGAGAATAGAAGATAGATATAAATAAAATACTTCTAATTATCTCAGATTAAATATTTCTAATTATGTACATAGGTCTTTTTATACATAATAATTGGCAATAATGGAGGGCTTATTTAAATATATATATATATAGTAAAGTATGGGATTATTCACAATAGTTGTTAAAAATATGAGATTGTACCATGATACGATTTTAATTTGAAATCTACTTATGTTTATTTATATGATATACATTAAGTAGATAAATTATTGTAAATGAAACACGGATGACTATTAAATTAAAATATCTTTCATTTTATTATCACACATTCATGCATACAAATGACTTTGTTAACAGAATTCATAGCATTCACGAGTAGCTATTGTGCTAGACAGCTGCATGATTGGAAATCTAAAAATACATATCTACATGTTGTTCGTGAAATAATGTACGCCGAATCAATTCCATTGCAATTATTTTTAGACTTTAAATAATACAAAAGTATGCAATATTTTCATACTACCTTTTAAACGTATAAAAAAACGCAAAAAGTTTAGCATCATTTTCTTTGCGTTTTCATTGAAAAACAGTTCCCTTTTTGATAACGATGCATATTGCACAATATGCATGTATAATGCATAATTTTAATATCGCCAGTCAGTGCATTGTTGTTAATTGCCAATATTGCAATAGCCTTTCACCTTTTGGTAATGCCATAGAATTGGGTCTTTCAAATGTTAACATAATATCTTTAACCTTATTCTTTAATTCACTATCAAATAAATGTCCTCCGGTACGTTCTAATGCCGATGCCATGTCATATTCTACAGAAGGGAGAGGTTCGCGAATGAAACGTGCAGCACTAGCAATACTTGGTACTATATGCCACTGTAAAGCTTTGATTTCCCAAAGACTACTAAGGAGTGCATTGCTTAATAAAGGATCTCGTTCTTCCATTAAAAATGGATCTCCTGCATAATTATTTTCTTCTGATGAAATTTCTCCTCCTTGTGGATGATCAATAAGACGTTTTAAACCAGGGTGCCTAAGTAAAAGATTTCCAACAAAAAGTAAAATAATAAGAATATCTTCAGGTGGTGCTACAAGAGTCAAACGTGCAAGTCTCTTTGCAAAGGCAGCAACTAATGCTTCTGGTAAGTGTCTAAAAAAAAATATATTTTTTTTATATAATAAACTATTATATAATTTATAAAAACAAAATATTTTTAAACACTTACGTTGAACTGAGGAAAAGATCGGATAAATAAAATAAACGTGCTTTATATTTTGTATGAAAAATTTCTGGTTCAAACATAGAATAAAGTTTGGTAAAAATATTTGGATATTCCAAGTTATGTTTGGTAACTAATAAAAATACACCTTGCAATGCAAGTAAACCAATAGGCCCATCTGCATCCAAAGAATCCATAAGAAAATCTGTTAATAAAACAGGTTTTTCTAAATGTGGCATAACTCTTTCTAAAAGAACTATTAATAATTGTTTATGTAATTGTGGTGTCAATTCCCAATGCATGACACAAGCCCAGACTTTATTCAATGCACGTCTTGCTCCAGCTTGGTCCCATATAAAATTCTTAGTAGCTAGAAAAAATATATATTTAAATTAAAAATAAAATAAAAATTAATTAAATATAAAGAAAAAGCATAACACCTATATTTTTATTACCTTGATGTGGTTTACATAATAAATTCTTATTTTCAGACATCTCATTTTCTGTAATACAATTATTAGAAATTAATTCTAAATATAATAAAATATAATTTATTTAATTTATACCTTCAATTTCCTTTGGCAGTGATAGTTTATGTATAAGTTCAAGCAAATTTTTAATATAAATTTCATGTGGTTGTCTTTTTGGAGTAAGAGATGGAAGACATTTCCACGTATAATAAAGAGCATCAGGATATTCTATAATTTCTTGAAATCTAGATATTAAACCAGCATTGTCCTTCTCCGGCGAAAGCAATTTCATTAAAATAGGCTTTAACCGATGCAATGGAAAATAATATCCCAAATTGCCAATTGGTTCCAATGGATTTTTACCTTCCTCAGCCATAAGTTTTATAGCAGTAGTAAGAGCTTGTAATTGAATGGCAGGTCGACATTTTTCCATTGATGTAAGTATCTTTTCCCATATTTCTTCGTAACAGTTTCTCAACCAGTTGATGTATCTTGCTTCAGGACTTGGCTCTGTTTCATAAATCTTATGGAAAAGCTATTCCATGTTTTTAACCATGTACAAAATCAAAAAAATATATATATCTTTATATTTAACTTTGTGTCCAAAAATATTTTTTCACAAAGTATCATATGTATAAAAATTTATAATTCTTACCATGAAATTTAAAAATGAATGAAAATGTCAAATACTATTCACAAACAATAATTAATTGGAAAATATAAAATTTTATATATAAATTTTAACATACCTGAAATAGTAAGGGATATTGTACGCTCCAAATACATGTCACCTCTTTTCAAAACTTCGACAAATATTGTTTCTATCGTAAGTAGACAAGACAAAGTGGATTCCTGATAGAGTGATCAGGAATTTTAATAAATGACATAACCTTAAAAAGTTGATACATTCATGAATTTTGAAATGGTTTTAGAATTTGTACTTACATCCCATTGAGAAATTATATCTACTAAATTATTTGCATGTTTTCTTGAAGTTAAAAAGTCTTGTGCTTTTTGTCTTAAAAGTTTTGACGACATTTTTTGAGTGGAAGCGCCGGGAAGTTCTGCTGCATCCGCCATCGTTGAATATGAATTCAATAATGGCAGAAGATATCAAGAATATGCGAATATATTTTTTATACCTGTATTCTTTTTTTTGAATTATCCTTTATCCTAAATCTAAAATGTTTTATTGTAAAAAAAAAAAATTAAATGTGACAAATATTGATAATATATATTATCAATATATATATGAATAATATTATCTGTATTAATTAATTCTCATTCAATTTGATATTTTACTACCAACTTCTTTATTTAAATGATTAATTTAGTATTTCTTTACTAACTTCTTTATTTAAATAATTAACATCTTTTATATTAATTTGATTTGAATAAATTAAATATATTTTGTGAACATCTTTTATGAACCAAATTATAATATTGATTTTTACTAAATTATCTATTTATAAAAAAAATGACGTTTCTTAATAACTAATGATAAAAGAATAATTTCAATGATAAATAACTATAATTATTAACTAGATAATAAAAAATAACAAAATAAATTACTATGTTTTACTCTATCTCTACGAAGTTATTAAATTATTAAGAAACAAATTTAATTTTACGAATTTTTTTTTTATAGTTTTTTTTTCTATATTTTCAACATTCAATTCAACATTATTATCCGGAACATTTTCAAAGAACGTTGATTTTAATCTATTTATGGTAATTTCTATTGTTTCTTCTTAATAATAATTTATATATCTTTCAATTATTTTTAACAAATATATATACATATGAAATAAAATAATATAAATATACATATAAAAATGTATATATAATTATCTAAATTTGTATGAATAAAAATTTTTTATTTCGAATTATGTAGGGATCGATTCAATTTTCTTAGTTCCTCAAAAATTTGAGAATATCTAGTAGGTTTTGAAATAGTTTTAAAAACTATTTCTGCTGCTGATGCTATGAAATTTTTTTTAAAGTTAAATATAAAAAAAATTCTAAGAAAAATATTCATCCAATTTTTAATGATGTAATATATTATAGTATATTATGAAGTGGGCATAAAAAAACATGTACAGAATATTAATATATTTATCGAACATCTTTGAAGAATATCTAAAGATCAAAATATAAAAAACATAAATATAAAAATTGACATACAAAAATATTGTAATTTATTTATTAAAATATAATTGAAATTAAATAAAATTTAATTTATAAGAAATGAGATAATTTTTTATTATGTTATTTTTTCGTTTTATTTTTATTTCATTTAATTAATGTAAACAAATTGTTTATAATTTAATAACTTAAACTTTTACTAACATTTTTATATGTCAACTTTTATATTCTTTTCCATCTTTAAAGATGCTCTATAAATATACTGTATATTATAGATAAAATTATTTTATCTAAATAACATATATATATTTTCATGTTCTTAATAAACTTGTAAAAAACTTGAAAAAGAATAATGATTTTTTATAAATATCGTAAGATAATTTTAGTCATAAATAACTAGAATAATTGGATAAATAAGATAAAATTATGAGTTTTAATGTTACATGTAAACATACCTTTAATATTAACATTATGAGTTTCGTTGATACTGGTTGGTATCAATATACATAAATGTATACATGAAATAATATAGAAAGAAGTTCGATTATGAGCAAATTGAATCGAAGTATTTCTTTGTAAAATACGCAAAAATAAAATTTATTTTTTAGTAACGTTAATATAATAAATAGTAAGTAAATATCATATATGTAGTAGAAAAATTTATGTTTGAACAAGAAATATTATACTTATATACTGTAATATTATACTTATAAACTGTTACAAGATATACAAGTAAATGTGGAAGATTTGAAAATGTTTTGTTCATTATAAATAATATTCTATAATTTGCAAAATTATTAATATTTATAATATAATCATTTTTATGATGAATATTTCCATAATTCAATATTTTTTTTTTAAATAATCATTTAATTTAAAGAAATAAATTATATATTTAAAATTATATATAGGTTATTTTATACTATTAATAAATATATTTATATTATTTTAAATATTTAACTTTTACTAATATAAATATATTTATTAACATTAATAACAAATAAATATATAATTAATAGAAAATATTTTTATTAATTATATATTTATTGATTATTGTTCTTAGTAACATTTAAAAATAATACATTTTGAATAATTATTTATTTTGACAAGCCATCAAAAATAAAAAAAAATGTTAGAAATAACATGCAATGATCGTCTTGGAAAAAAAGTTAGAGTTAAATGCAATCCAGATGACACAATAGGAGATTTAAAAAAATTAATAGCAGCTCAAACTGGAACTCATTGGGAAAAAATTGTTTTAAAAAAATGGTATACTATATATAAGGATCATATAAAATTACAAGATTGTATCCTTTCAAATAAAATATATTTTCAATAAGATAATTGTTAACATTATAATATTTTCTTTAATTTAACAAATCAGATGAAATTCATGATGGCATGAATTTAGAACTTTATTATCAATAATTAATACTTAACATTATATAAATTAATGTGAGATATATATATATATAATAACAATAATAAATTTTATATATTTAAGCATCTTTTGATTTTGCATTTTACACAATTTACATTATATATAATGTATATAATTATTATACAATTAATGAACATAAATTATATTAAAAGAATATATAATATATATAATAACTATACAATAACAGCAAAAACAATCTTAATTTAAATTATTGATAATGAGTGTTTACAATCCAAAAATTTACTATTTAATATTGCTATTTAATATCTAAGTATTGCTAAATTATTTTTATAAATTGAAATATATCTAGAAATATATTTTTTCTTGAACTATAATAGTATAATAGTTTACTAACTTTTAAATTTCTATATATAAATAATACTAAAATTGAGTAAAAAATATAACTTACAATATATTTTTTTTTAAATTTAATTATCATTTCAACTATATCATTAACTTAATATAGAACTATGATATTGAAAACATGATTATTGAAAAAAACAAAAAATACAAAAAATACAATAACATTTAATTTTTTTATAGATTTTAAAATTTTAGAAATTAATGTGGCCTCTTAGATAATTTTTCTGTCCTGTTTACTGAATTTTCAGGTTGGATTGTAATTCTACCTCTGTTGCTTAAGAAGTCTCTTATATGTTGCACTATCAAATCTATTGCCACTGCAACAAAACATAAATTTCATATAAATGAGTGAAAATAATTTTGTAATAATGGGGAACGTAACTTCTTTATTATTACTTCACTTATACAGTTTAAATAAACAATGTATCAAATTACATAATTCAGATTATAATTAATTTGTATAATAATGAAAATTTAATTGAGATTAAAATGATTTGAGCATATGAAAAATATAAATATTGAATAAACGGAATAGCACCATATTGAATAATGCAATTAAATGTTTTTGAATGTGGCAGTATATGAATAATATGCTAATTTAAACTAAAAATATCACATTATTCAAAGAATTATACTAGGAAATATCTTATGCTCGCTTAAATTATAAAATTTCAATTTATACACTGATACATAAAATAATTATTAATTGAGAAATAACATTATGTAAAAAAAGCTAAATTTTTGAAAACATACATAATTTTATATACATTGTATATTCATAATGATTCTTATAAGTAAATAATACTAAATCATTTTTAACATAGATCAATCTTATGAGTAAACTTGAATAATTATGCAATATTGGAATATTTAATATTTAAACGAGGTATTTTGTATAATTATACACTATATCCTAGCTTTAGGAATAGTGAAATCTTACCTATGTAAGATAATGGTTTAATAGGTACATACATACTAGAAGCAATATTTTTTTGCGACTTAGTATAAATGTAATATAAATACGATTGTATAAGTATATAAGAGATATATTTGTATTTAAAAAAAAAGATTTAAGATTACTGCAAACTTTATCCTACATCAATATATGGTATATAAAAGTGTAATGTTTATAAGTGCGCATATCATGCTAAAATCATCTGCTGAGCGTTTCGGATGAGTTAGTCGAAGTACGCCTATGTTGATAGATGTATGGATGCTGCCTGGATGAGTTTTCAGCCTTTTTCAAACGCAAAATGTCCCAGATGTGGTGCACTATAAGGTCTATTGCCACTGTAAACATACAATAACCAAACCATGTACGTTCTTATATGACCTTCACTTTGCACTAACTTAAAAGATAACTTGTTTTAGCAGCCTTTACATACCAGGCAGCATCCATAAATGAATATGAATATATATATGTATGTGTATATATACATACATATATATACATATAATATATGTATATACACACATACACACATATATGAAGAAAAAATTTTAAGCTGCCTTATTAATCCAAATCTGCACCTGAAGTGTATTAGATAATACACATTTTAAAATCATCATATAATAAATAAATTATTATACATATTACAATACAAAAGATTATAACATTATATTATATCATAATTACAAAATTAAAATTGATCTTTATAATTGATTAGGTGCAGATTTGATGAAGATGAATTTTGGTTATGATACAATGTAAATTATTTATATGATAGTTAATAAACAGCCATTGCATATTTAATATTAAACAAGTGTAATATAATATAAATAATTTATGTATTATTAAATTGTTTCATGCAATGTTTATATTATAATAATATAATTGAATTAATTTACCTGTATTGTCTGCACCTCTTGGTATAATAACATCAGCAAACTTTTTAGTAGGAAGACAGAATTCTTCAAATGCAGGTTTTACAAAATTCATGTATTGATTCAATACATAATCTAAGTCTCTTCCTCTTTCTTTTATGTCTCTTGGTACTGTAATAATTAGAAACTGATAATATTTAATTTTTACAACAATGTTCAAAGAAATATTTTAAACATTTTTAAACATATTTTTACCTCTTCTAGCTAATCTAGTATCTGAATCAGTATCCACAAATAACTTCATATGAAATAAATCTCGTATCTTAGGAAAATAAAACACTAAAATACCTTCAAATAAAACAACATCAGCAGGATAAATTGTTGTAATTTGATCTTTCATTCTAAAATATCCGCCAAAAAATGATTAATGTAACATTATAATATATAATGAATATAATTGGTTTAAATGATACATACAAACTGTTACTTCTGTAATCATAGGCTGGTATTTCACATTTTACACCAGCTAATATATCTTGTAATGTTTGAAGTATCAAGTCATTATCAAATGCATCTGGATGATCAAAATTATATTGACCCTTTTCAGCTTTAAGTTTTTCAGCTGGTGATAAATCTCGATAAAAACTATCTTGTGAAATACAAACTACTTGTCGTTGCATATGATCCATATCTACTTGTCCTAGTTTTTCCATTATACGTTTACATACAGTTGACTAAAAAAAAAATATATAGTTGATTATACACAAAATTAATTTTGCAATTGATAAACAATTTATGAATCTTAAATGCAGAGGTTAATTAACACAAAAAATATATTTTGTTTAAAATTAAATAAAATTAAGATACTTTAAAAAAAATATAAAATAATGCATTGCTTACTTTCCCACTGGCAGTACCACCTGAAACTCCAATTAAAAAAGGTGTTTTGCTTTCTAAACCGTTTAACTTTCCATTAATACCAAAAGACATTTTTCGCGGAGTAACAATATTCATTGACATATCTGCCATTTTAAAAATTTTTTTTAGATTTTTTGAATTTGAATAAACAATTTATTTTGAAAATGACACTGTAAGAATAGTTTTGCGCATAACACGAATTATTAGTGTAAGAATTAGAGGAAATATAACATATATATATATAATCTGAATCACATAAATCATTACATTCAATACGCGCGCGCAGCAATGAACGATATTTGAACAGAATACATTTATTAAAAACATTATATATTATAAAATTGAATTTTATACAAATTAGGTTATTTATACGTATTTATTGTATTTAACTTATACATTTTCATAAATTAATATTTAATTTTCATTGTTTATTAAATTAAAATATATGTTATTTGCTTTTATACAGCTTTTATCGATTTATCTCATCATATCCCATCGATTTAGATATTATGTCTGATTTAGAAAGAAAAAATATCTTCAACTTTAATTATTATCTGAGGAATTATTAATATCGGAGATAATCGATAAATCTAAAGTTCATGTGATCGATATTATTGCATATTCATGCATCTTTGGCACATTAATTTAGTTACTACATTGATTGCTTATTTTCATGAAAATAATTTTGTTTATGAATTTTGAATTTTGGAAGCTATTTATTAAATTTTGAATTTATTTCTTTATTGTAGAGAATATTTAGAGAACTTGACTTATTTTAATATAATATTTTTTTATATAAATATATTAATTTAATTTTTTTTATATAAAATTTAATATTCCTGTATTGTGAATTCAACCATGATTTTTATAGATTTTAATTACATCTAGTAACGTTCTTTCATTGAACGGATGTTTATAAATTTAATATTTATTGAATTTTTATTATATCATATTTATTATATTATAAAATTTATGAGTTTATAAGTGTTTTTATGAGTTATTACCATTTTTATTATTTCGATCAATCTAATATAAAATTACTTTATTATTATCTAAAATTAAAATTAATAATAAGTATAATTATGAAATTGTAAGAACAATTACGTATAATTTCATAATTAAATCATCATTGAATTTTTATCACATATTAATATAATTAATATAATTATAATAAAATATAAGGTTATATTTTTATTGATTATATTTATATACTTTATATATATTATCGATTATATATGTTAATTGTGATAAATTACAAGGAATAAAGGTCAAATAATCTAATTTGAGTTAAATGCGTACTGTTTTGATATTATTCTGTAAATGATTACATAATATTGATTTTATCTTTACTTTGTCCAATAAAATAATGCGAAATACATTTATCAAACGTTATGTTTGCAGTAAAAGTTATGAGGTAATTTAGTATATTTAATATAATTATTTAAAGTTACAATGAATTTATTTTTATAATATACATAAATATGGAACAAAAATTTAACAATTTTAATAATAATCCTTATGATGATAATTCATATGAGGTATAATATAAATTATTGTTTTATCATTTTACATTAAGTCAATTGAATGATAAAATAAGCATATGCATTAGAATTATTTATTTAACTTGTTTATTTCTTTTTTTTAAAATAATTTATTTGTTTATAGGCAGCTATAAAAAAATTATATGGTTTACAAAGTAATAGTACGTATTTAAAGTTAGCAACAAAAAATAATTCACAAACAAATAATAAATTATTTGATACAATAAAATATTTAGTTCGGTAATAATTTTTTTTACATTAAATAATATATTTTAAATATATTTTAAACATTAAAACAATTTAGTAATTTTACAGCTCTGGTATTACACTTGAAAAATTAGACACTTTATCAGTAATACATGTAGCAGGTACAAAAGGAAAAGGTTCTACTTGTGCGTATACAGAAGCTATTTTACGTGAACATGGTTTTAAAACAGGATTCTTTAGTTCTCCACATTTAATTAGTGTAAGAGAACGTATAAGATTAAATGGACAACCAATAAGTGAAATGCATTTTACTCAAAACTTTTGGAAAATATATAAAAAATTAGAAGATACAAGAGAATATGAATCTGACATGCCTGCATATTTTAATTTTTTAACACTTCTTATGTTTAATGTATTTTTAGATGAACATGTTGATGTTGCTATAATTGAAGTAGGTATTGGAGGTTTATATGATTGTACAAACATTGTAAGAAATCCTGTCTGTGTAGGTATAACTAGTTTAGGATTAGATCATACTTCTCTTTTAGGTAATTCTCTTGAAGATATAGCTTATCAAAAATCTGGAATTTTTAAATCAGGAACTATTGCATTTTCTGTTCCACAATTACCTCAGGCAATGTGTATACTAGAAAAAAGAGCAATTGAAAAAAATTGCAAATTACATATTGTACCATCCTTTGATGAATATAAGTGGGAAAATATTTCACCTACTTTGCAAATAATAAATAAAGTTCAACAACAAAATGCATCTCTAGCTATTCAAATGGCTATTGAATGGATACAATCTAAAAGTAAAATTTCAAATGTTTTGCATAATTCCATAAATAATAATATTTGTTGTAAATATAAAGAAAATTCTCAAATAATTGTATTTATGGATAAGGTAGCAATAGGTTTATCTTGTTGCAAATGGCCAGGTCGTATGCAAATTTTAAAAAGTAGTATTGGTGACTTTTTTTTAGATGGTGCTCATACAATTGAAAGTATTAAATGTTGTATTTCTTGGTTCAGTGATGTAAGTAATAAAAACAGAGGGAAAAGATTTCTTATTTTTAACACATCTGGTAATCGAGATCCAATTAAATTATTAATATTATTAAAATCTTTATATTTTCATAAAGTATATTTCGTACCAAATTTTGCAGGAATTAAAAGTTTAGATGATGAAGTAAATTGTTTCTTAATAGATGAGCAAAAAATAAAATGTGAAATAAATTCTAAAATATGGGGAACAAATTCAGTGATTGTAAATAGTGTTTTTGAAGTTTTACAAGATATAAAAAATAATTCAGAACACAACCAGATATTTGAAAAAAACCAGATATTAGTAACAGGATCTTTACATTTAGTAGGTACAGTTCTTACTATTTTAGATCCAAATTTGACAATGAATACACAATTTTAATATTTTCAAAATTGAAATTATTTATATATATATATATATGTATATATATATAATGTAATTGTGAAATATATAAAAAGAACATTTTTTTATAAACGATAGAATTATGTATTTAACAATTATATTAACAATTGTATCAATTCATGACAATACATTGATGATTAATATATGATAATACAGTAAGATATTGCATTGTTATAATGATCATAATCAGAAAGTACTTATTGATACTTTTTCGTAACAATTCCCTTTTGTACTTTAATATAAATATATTGTTCATAAAACTATAAATAATTGTAAAGTTTTAATAATTTGTACATATGACAAGTATGTATATGTTTATGAATTGTACAACACAGGAGAAATAGGTGATATTAAAATAAAAACTAGAAAAAATGCTTAGAATATTTTGGTATGATAATCTAACTCTGATTCTGCTTCTGTGTCAGATAAACTTAAAGAAACGCCAGTTCTTCGTCTTAAACGATTTTCGTCAGGACTCTGAAATGTATAAAAATAATTTTTAAATGGAATAAAGTTTTGTATTTAAAGAATATCTATTCAATTTATATTAATATTTAATTCTTGACAATTATATTATTGTCAAAAAGAACAGAAATTGATACCTGATCTAGAATACCGGCAGTGGGTTCAGAGGCATAACCTACTTCTTGTGCATCTTCTTCCAAATCTGCCTCATATTCTTCCAATTCATCCGTGTCAGAATCAATTTCCAAATCTACATATATACTTCCTCTAGAGACTTTACACACCATTTGAGCTAAATCTGTAAAAGTATACGAAGATATTGATTGCTGATTTGCTGCTTGATGTTTTGCTCGTAATGCGCGGGCATTTTCTCTATCAGCATTAAAACGTGGTAAAACTCCAGCTTTTAATTGTCCTTCGAAATAAGTTTTTCCTATAAAAATATTAATTATATATAATATAGTGAAATTTATTATTAATTTTCTTCTTGATTAAATTATAATGTTCTAATATCTGTTAATTGAATTAAAATAAAAAAAATATTTTATATAATTCTTTATGTATAATATTTATAAATTTTTATCTGTTAAATATAAATATAACATTTACCATGTTGATATCCAACATCTTTAATTTCATCAAAGTTAGCGAATTGGAGAGTTTTATATTTATCTATTGGTGGCCTGATGTATTCACAGTAATCTGAGCTTTTAACTTCTTCTAATTGTCGTACACAACTAACATATGCCAATCGCGATTGTATGTCGGGTAAATTCGGAACTTTGACAGGCGTTGCAAATGGATTCCACCGTTTCCATAATAACCACCAACCAGATAAAGAATCTCCATAATTCGTTAAATCCGTGTCATCTTGTGACCCAACATCAATAGCCAAAATATGATGTGCTCCTTGCCTCAACATTTCGTCAGCTTAAACAAAGAAATTATAAAACCATATATTGAAAATTGATAATGATAGACAAATTATTATTTCTATGACATAATAAACAATACAGGTTTAAGATACCTGGCACGTTATTAACATAACACCCATCGACCAAAAGATGCCCGTCAAGAGGGTCGCAAATAGGAGGAAAGACCCCCGCAATGGTCATACTGGCTCGAATGTATCTCCATAGCAAACCTGAGTTGACTTAGCTATTCAGGATTTGACAAATGCATCTTTTATCAACGGGAGTGAGCTTATATAATTTTCAAGTTTATATTATAATCTTAAGTTAAATTCATAAATCGTTTTGAACTTATATCAATGAAAGGAACTAATATAATTTCATTGATATAAAGTTGTTTTTAATGTCCAGGTAATTTTATAAAACTAAAGAAAAAATTATAAATATTTTTATCAAGAGCATGTTTTCAACTCAAAATATTTTTCAGTAAGTATGCTAATAATAAATTTTATAGAAATAGAAGGCGCAAGATTTTGTATTATATAATAACAAAGTTAGATGCATTTTTTAATGTGACGCTCAAATTACCTGGAAGGTTATTGACGTACCCGCCGTCGAGCAGGAGATGGCCGTCAACTGGGTCACACATGGGTGGCATATAACCAGACAAAGACATCGAAGCTCGAATGTACCGCCACAGCGATCCTAAACACGACGAATTAATTTCTTAAGTATTTATATATTTCTTTTTACTTTATATATTTTTCTATAAAATATATACTGTTAGAGCAAGAACCAATAACTTCAAAACTTTTTATTCATTATCATAAAAATATCAAAGAAAATTATTCTTTATATATTTAATTTTTAAACGACAAATAGAAATCGACATTTATTAATAAACGATATAAAACGGAGAGTACGTCATTACGATTGAAAGCTCCAGAAAGCTCACTCCCGCTGTTCAAGCTTATTTCTATGCAGTGATGTACAATTATTTAAATTCAAAAAATTTGAATTAGAATATATTTATAAATTCTATAAATTTCATTAAACAGCGAGAGAGTTTCCAGTTAATTAAAACTAGATCATTTATGTTTTAAATTTACATTATTAAAGAAAACTGGAAACTATCAGTGCTTTAAAAAATGTTACATTTTTTTCGTTTATGTACAGACCGTGTGTATGCGTACGCATACAAGAATCAGTGATGTCTGTAGTTAGTGTAAAGTATGGTAACCATAAATCTTCTATATATGTGTCCCCAAATGTTGCTTGAATTGTATTATTAAAGTCTTTTCCAGAAAACATAGATGTTACTGGATATGTTAAATCCATTATTTGTCTCCACCATTGTGTCATTTTCTGTTTGAAAAAACAAAAACATCATAAAAAAATAATAAATTTGTTGATTTGAATGTTATAAAATATTTAATTCTATAATATTTACTTTGGACCATTCACGAGCTTTTTGCGTTGTTGTTGTTATATTTTTTTCCATACACCATAAAGCACCCATAAATGCTCCAATACTAACTCCTCCAACCATGTCTATAGGTATTCCAGCTTCGATAACGGCTTTAAGCATTCCTACGTGAGCTGCACCTCTAGCACCTCCACCTCCAAGTACAAGTCCAACTGAAGTTCCAGTTAACCAACGAGCAAGTCTACTAAAATCACTATGTATATTTGGTTCAGACATCAAAACTTTAGAATACAACTCATTCTGGAAAAATAGTTATATTATTAATACTTAATATAATATAAATAAAAATTTCTAATCTTTTATATCTTACAATTCTATATTGAGATCTTCTCGTAAACATTCGTTTAGGACATTGAATGTGATGATGACTAGAAACCCAAGATCTCATATTCAACCACTGTACTGTATTTGTAGGTCGTTGTCCGCTTTGTTCTTTATGTAAGAGTACTAATTCTTTTTGTGTCCTCATTACTAAACGTTCAACTTCACGTTCAGTTCTACCTATAGATGGAGGCTTATCTCCTAAACCCACAATAAGAATACAATCAGCTTGTCGAACACATCGTTGAGTCCACAATGTATATGTTGGATCACATTGATATAGTGAAATTCGATGTTGATCTTCTTGTTGTGCAAGCCATGATGTTAAACGATATTCATTTGCAGGTTCCATTATAGTGCTACCTAATGTCTATTCATTGAACAAAAGAATATAAATATTCTATGTAATTTTATTACTTATATTATTAAATTAAACAAATTTATGAAATATTTATTAATATTTTAATAATTATTTACTTTTCGAACAACATCAGAAGTAAGGCGTAGACATGGTCCAATAGCACATAATGAGTGATAAAGTTCATATGTAAATGCAGTTAGAGGGACATCATCGGATACCGGAACTATTGCAACAGTTGAAAAATTTACTTGAGCTGGTCTTGCATCGACTGTTGCTGCGGCCCGTCTATAAATATTTTTATAAAAGATGAATTTAAATTACATTACAAGAGAGGAATTGTATATATAAATAGCTAACAAAATATTCTAGATATATACTGTGTATCGTTACTGCCATTTTTTGTATGCGCTTGTTGCCAAGTGCCAAGTATACGATGTCCAAGTAAATTTATAAGTCTTGTAACTACTATTGGATAACGAAGTTTTATAACGTTAAATAATCCTTCAGGAAGTTTTGCTAATTCAGAGTCTCGTACTGCCATTACTGTTGTTGATCGTGGTGTTTGTGTAACCATTTCTACAATACCTACAAGATCACCTTTCCCATATTCCGCAACAAGTTCTTTTTTTCCATTTTTATATGTAATTACCGACCGAAGTCGACCACTTAATACAATAAATGTCGAATCTGATTCATCTCCTTGTCGATATACTGCTCTTCCACTTTCAAGAAATAGCCAATCAAGTGCAAAATCAACCTTTTAATAAAGATAAATAATTACTATTAATTAATAAATTAAATAAATAATATATTTTTACCTGTCTTACGAAGGGGCTAAGTCTTCGAACAACTGAATGGGCAACATGTAATACAACAGTTGGTTGTTCTCGCATAATAGCGAAAAATGTTGATTTACTAAGAAGTGCTATACGACTAGAATGTTTTGCTCTAATGGTATAAAAAGAAGGTTCTCCAGTTAATACAGCTAAACCACCGACAATTTCGCCTTGATGAGCACTAAACATATGAACTTCTTGACCTATATCTCTACCTTCTGAAACGCGTTGACTAACTATTAATATACCAGATATAACATAGACAAGTGCAACATCCTGGAAAAATGAAATGTAAAATTGGATAAAAATATACTTTTTTTTGAATAATGTATAAGAATAATAACGTTTACCTTGTGAGATTCTTCCTTCATCAAATATGTACCACTTGGTACTTCTCTAATTTGAACTTTACCATCTTTGAGTATTGAATCATCTTCTAATCCAAGTTCCCTGATGAATGCTTCTGTAGCTATTTGCACAAGATGTGCTTCATCTAATTGTTGTTGAACTGGTTCAGCAATAATCGATTTTTTCTTATTAGAATGTGAATTTCCAGTATGTATTACATCTGGTTGTGATCCTTGTTGTGATGTTATAGGAGAAGAATTTGGCCAATGAGAATCGCATTCTGGTACCATATCTGCTGTATTTTGACCTGATTGTGAACTTAAATTTTGATTTTTCCAATCAAGATTAGTTTTTTGCCTATTATGTATAAATAATAATAATGAACAAATAATTATAATAAAAATATTATATATAAAAATATGTTTTCATTTCATATTATATTTTTTTTTAAACTTACCGTCGATTTATAACAATTGGTACACTTTGATGACTATTTAATGTAGAAATATGAACTATTTCATTTTTATCATGTTCTGATGAAATAGTTGTAAATGTATTGGATTGATTTTCTATATTCTGAGTAGAACAATTTTCTTTAGTTCTTGATCTAACTGGAGATCCAGAAAATGGACTTTGTTTCTTTTTATGTGATCCTTGATTAACTAATTCTGCAGATAATCCAAGATATTGATGGAGAGCAGTGAAAGTGACTCTTTGAAGACGGACCATAATGACCTGGATAACTCGAACAAATGCATCAGGATGATCTTGAAAAACCTGTAAAGATGTAAATACTGTAAAAATCATAACTTGTTTTATTTTATATTATAATTTTATAAGGATTGTAAGGATTATATACCTCTTGAAATGCATTCATTGGTAGTTTTACTACAATGGAATCTTCTACAGCTCTAGCTGATACTGTTTTATAGGTACTTGTATGCCCAGTAAGTACATCTGTGAAGCTAAGAAGACTAGTTACTGATTCTCCAGTTTTTACTAATTTTAATGATATTTGAGAACCATCAGGTCCTGTAATATAAACATTAACTAAGCCTTGTTGTACAATAAATAAATTTTCATCTGGATCTCCAATTTTAAATAAGGTACTTCCAGCTGGTAAATTCATAATTTCTGTATGTTTGCATAATTTAAGAAATACTGGTTTTTCAAAATGACCAAATACTCTGATACTTTGCAACATATATAAAGCATCAGGTGGTACTTTTTCTCCAGGACCTAGATCTTCTTCTAAATATTCAGCAGGTGGTTCTAAAACCTATTAAAATATTAAAATATAATAATAAATATACAAAATAAAATAAGAATTAAAACAATTACACTTAGAAATTTAAATACTTTTAATTGTTGTGGTACTGTTTCTTTTTTAAGTTGCAAAAGTCTTCGTGCAAATCTCATTACAGCTTTTCTTTTTTTTCCTTGTCCAGTTGCATGTACTTGTCCACTGATGGATTTTACTTTGCGTAACATTTTTCTTCCATAAAAAAGTACTTTGTCTCTTTTTCTGAATCTGGGCTTGCCTGTACCTACTCCAACAAATTCTTTTACTTCTGGAAGAAATTCTTTGTTTTTCCATTTTCGGAGAATGATTATAGATATAATTAATAAAATCACAAGACTTGATATTATAATACTAAATAGGGTCTTTGATGTTTGGTATTCTGTAATTAATTTGCCAATCCATCTTGAAAAAATATAAGAACCCAAACTTTCATTACATTTATTGAATAATTCTACTACCTATAAAAAATAACAGAAAAGTTATCAATAAGTTCAGCAATAATTAATTTTGATTAATAAAATAATATTCATCAATATTTAAATTACTATTATAAAAATCTATTTATGTAAATTTGATTTTATACTTCAACAAATAGATTAAATGTTTAAAAATTAAATGTGAAATATGACAAATACAACCTCCATAGTAGGTATTCATTTCTTCCATCAGAATGTAGTAAAATGTTAAACAAAAAGTGTGTCACAAATTCATAAGTAAAAAATGACGAAAATCCGAGGTAGATGGATTAAAACAATGTAGTTGCTTTGATATAAAGAATTACTTATCTATAATGAATTAATGACCTTTGATACTTCGCTCGAGTCATCCAGCGCCATTTTAGTCAATTTACAAGCTTGCAACTTACAAGCTTGTAGTTTTACTTTTATATATTTTATAAAATTACTATTAAATATTTAAAAACTGAATAGATTTATGAATATTTTCATAACCTGGTTGTCATTTTATTATGTTTCGTATAATTGTCATTTTTATCGAACTGAAAATCGAAGTTACAATTTGATAAATTTGCTTTGATAATTTTTTATATAATATAAATTGGACAATTATTAAAAAAAATGAAATAATTATGAAATAATTAAATATAACGAAATAATTAAAAAATACTATTTTTAAAATAATAAATGAATTATTTCTTAAAATAAAAAAATAAAAATTATATATGAATTTATATTTGAATTTTATTTATTAGAATGATAGGCAAATTATATATATTATATTAGTTTTTTTATTTTAAAAATTATTTTTTTATTTTATAAAAAACTAATACAATAAAAATGAAAAAACATATGCAATAACGATTTTATTTCTTAATTATTATTTTAATTTTTAGTAAATATCATTTAATATTACTTATTATTATTAATATCTTGCTATTGTATTGCAATTAAGATTTGAAATTATCCGCCAATATTAATTTCACCAATGATTAAACGTTTCCCCACTTAGTATCTACTTATATCTGAAAGCTTCGATAGAGTGCGCTACAGAGGAATTCTGGGCGGTTTTTGATGGACAGTTGGGTCCAGCCAGTCAGTGGTTACGGGCCGACATGTTGAAGGTATTTCTGTGATCGTACGCGGTAGATCTAACGCGTGATTTTTCATGCGTCTTTTGTGCGTGTTCAATATATAAGAAGTGTTTTTGGATTGCGACGCTACATGTGAAGTGTCGAGTGAAACAAGCCTGCTTGTGCCTGGTTTACCCGGCCAGCAAACATGAGCTGGGGTACAGAGCTCTGGGTAAGTCTACTTTACTGTTTCTTTCTTTACTTATCTATCTCCATCTTTGTGCTTTTATATAATATACGTATATACAATGAGATCTTGTAATATATACGTCAATATATTATCGGATGCTGACCCGTTGTTTTCGCCAACGCGTAACAAGGATACCCCCCAAAACCAGTTCACGGTGGCAAACCACTCACGGGAGTTTTGCTTTTGCGGTTGCTAGCCGCGGGCGACGTTCTTCTCTCCTTCGGTATATCCCCTCTTTTCCCACTATACCCAACCCGGGTATACTCATCACTGTGCTTCTTCGCTTCCTTTCTCATGAAATCTTCGATGAATACCGGTGTGACGATATGACAGTAACTTGTCATCTTATTATATTACAAATTTCATTAGTTTAAGGTTCGTAGAATGTTTTTATATATTTGTATGCTAATCTATATATTGTAGATCATTTTTTTAACAATATTATTTCGGTTTTATAATTTGTATAACAACATATTTGTGATACGTATATATAGAGATATACAATTTTATATATATATATATATATATATATATATATATATATATATATATATATAT